AAAAACAGAAGAAGACTTTGGAGGGACCAAGTTGTGTATTGCATTCGGACAAACTGAGTTCAAGTTGCTTTTGGAGTAGCTGGATAATTTATGCGGTAGGCAGAAGAATCTAAGGATTTAGATCAGTGTTTCCCAAAGGGGGTATTATCATCCCCAGGGAGCACTGGAATGATCTGGGGGTGGAGGGGGCTGCAGAAAATACCTACATTTTATTCTGGTTTATTGGGTGTTATATAAAAATTTCAAATTGCCACAAGGGTGCTGAATAATTTTTCTCTTTTTCTGAAAAGGGGGAAGTAAGCCAAATAAGTTTGGGAACTTTGATGTAAAGCTAAGGAGAGAGATCTAGACTGACGGTATGTAGATAGAATCAGCATATGGATGCTGAAATCATGGCAAGGGGCAAGAAGAATGAGGATAGAATTAACCCTGGCGATCTAATTATGTCAGTAATTTTGTACCCAAAGCGGTTACATTGCTTTGCAAAAAATTTGTTGCTTTATATTGTAGGCCTGTAATTCTTAACAAATTACTCATTTTAATCTCTCTAGTAGACATTCCAGGTATGATCAACTTTAAGAGCACTGCCATTTAAGTAGCTCTGGAGGCATAGTGGTTACATGTGGGGCCGCTAACCATAAGGGTTAGCAGTTCAAAACCACCAGCCATCTCTGTGGAAGAAGATGACTTTTTCTACTCTTGTAAAGAATTTCAGTCTCAGAAGCTCACAGGGACAATTCGACCCACCCTATAGAGTTGCTCTGAGTCAGAATGGACTCAATGACAATGAGTTGGTTTTTGGCGGAGCGGCTTGCCACTTAAGTAGCGGAGACATCAACACAGTGAGAAGAGGTTGAGAGTTAATAAGGCTCCTTTGGGCCTAACACCTATATACAGCTTCAGGGGATTGGTAATAAAGTATAAGATAAAGACATCTGTATTTCACCAAAGAAAAATGAAGTAAATTAGAACCATTGGTTCATTTGTTGAAGGTTTCTGCAGCTCTCGTTTTCCTGCCAGCTACTGGTACTTGACCCACTACTGTTAATTATAAGTAAAGTTTTTTATACAGATGAAAATGTTTTTTTCATTTGTTAGCATACCATTAAAATCTGCCCAAATTACATGAGCAGGTCAATTCAAAAAGAAATTTATTTTTTCTCTTTTCAGACTTTTAAGAAGAAGCCAGACCACTTTCCATTCTTTTTTAAGTGCATCTTGAAGGCAGCATTAGCCGAAACTGATGGGGAATTTTCACTTCATGAACAGACTGTCTTACTGCTTTTTCTTGATCACTGCTTCAATAGTTTGGTAATTTTACCTTATCTTTTGAGATAATTTACAAATTGTCTTGTTCTTCCAGCTTGCTATTAAATAAAATTGTCTTTGTAGCCAACCCCTCATATATATGGGAGGTGAGATTGAGGGTAATCCTAAAAGAGTAATTTTAGCTCATTGTCAATAAAGCCATTTGATAAGACTTGTTCCCTTCTTGATTTGGACTTTCTCTCTCTTGTCTCTACTCAAACTATAAGGAAAATGATATTAAGAACCGGAATCTCTAAGGTAGAGCAGAAACATGAGAAGCGGCAAAGAGTGGATCATATGAAGTTTGAGTATGGAGATCTGGGCTAGATGCTGCACACTTACTTGGTTAGTTTGTGCTTAATGCGCAGGCCAGCTACTCAACAGAGGAGTTACCTTGAGTCGGCTGATTAAGGCCAGTTGTGGATTATCTTTGACAGTGTTAAAAAAACTAAAAAAAAAAAAAAAAGAGTGTTGTGTACTGAGATTTTCATCTTTCAAAGATTCTCTTCTAAAGCAGTGGATACTTACAGTAAGTAATACTTCATTTGTGCTTCCCTGCTGTGGTTATATGAAAGTATGTACATATTTATTTAAAGATAGTGCTTCAGAATTGATAATACACTTAGACCCTTGCAGTAAAATGAATGCAATTCTTTTTTACTGAGAAGACTTAAATGTTAATTGTCAATATCAGAAGGATAGTTTGCAATTTCCTGTTTCTTCTATGTACCACCTTACAGGGATTTTTGGTAAAAATAAATAAAATAAAATTTACCTCTAGTAAGTTAGAATTTTAGAGGTCACTATTACCTCTTAAACATTTATTAAAATAAATAGAACCAGTGTACATAAATGTCAGTAGATGTGGTTCTTATCATAAATTTAACAAAAATATTTGATCAGTAGTTTGGTGCTAGGTTTAGCGAGCTTTGCTGCTGTTAGTTGCTTTTGAGTCAGCCTTTTTTTTTTTTTAATCATTTTATTGGGGACTCATACAACTCTTACCACAATCCATCCATCCATCATTGTGTCAAGCACATCTGTGCATTTGTTCCTCTCATCATTCTCAAAACATTTACTTTCTACTTGTGCCCTTGGTATCAGCTCCTCATTTTCCCCCTCCCTCCCTGCCCCCCTCCCTCATGAACCTTTGATAATTTATAAATTATTACTATTTTGTCATGCCTTACGCTGTCCGATGTCTCCCTTCACCCATGGCCCAGCATGCCAGAGCATGCTGCTCCCTGGGGTTCGTAAAGCTGCAGTCTTGGTAGAAGCAGATGGCCAGCCCCTTTTCTTCCACAGCTGCAGAGTGGGCTCACATCACCACGCTTTCCGTTTAGCAGCCAACTCCTTAACCACTGTTCAGCCGGAGCTCCGGAGGGCAGACCCATAACAATCCCCGGACGTGAAGTTTCCCACTCTTTGCCAACTTAAAAATGAATTTAGTATTAAAATGGGACCCTTTTTAAAGTGTTGAGCTTCTTAATATTAAAATAGCATTAATTTGAAACTATTGGTGTCACGTTCCCCATCCAGGATGTAAATAAGTAAAGTGTGCTTTATGTAAGGATTGAAATAGAAATACTGGTTTTGCCCTAACCTTGCTTCCTGAATGCTTTAAACAGGAAGTCGACTTGATCCGGAGTCAAGTGCAGCAGCTCATCTCCCTTCCGATGTGGATGGGTTTACAACCTGTAAGTACCTAATTTCAGAAAGTTGGAATATGTGTGTTCAGAGTCTATACTTTGAATATGAAGGTAAAAATGGTAAGTAAAAGTTCTCTTTCCTGCTTAGAAATTCGAAGTTACTCTATATTATTTTTATTATAGATGCAATTTTTTTTTAGTTTTAAAATGCCAGCTAATATACACAAATTTTGTGGAAAAAATGGAATTAAAAGATAATGGAATTTTTCCATAAGCCCCTTTGAATACTTCACCCAGTAACATTATTATAAGCTGAAATATATGTATGTATGTATATATATATATATATATATAGAGAGAGAGAGAGAGAGAGAGAGAGAGAACAGGATTCAAGTGTGTTGTTTATTGAGGAGGGTCCCATAACGTAGGGAAATACTGCTATTGCCCTTTCACAGTTCTTTGGATGAGACTAAATGCTGACCCACTGTATTTACTTTGGGGTATACATGCCACTGAAGGAGGTCTGCAGCAGGTTTAATATTAACAACTTCATTTTTATCAAGTCTTTTTTTTTTTTTTATAAGAACTTTTACTGTCAATTCCATGATGGTTTTACAGAGCAGATCAGTTTTCCATTCATCTGTTTATTGTACACATTGTATTTCATGTTAGTGATTGCTCCCTGTAATTCCTGTATCCATTTCCCCTTTAATACCTGGATGAATATTGTTCTTGGGAAAATGCTGCCCTTTCGGTCTTAAATGGTAATTCTAAGGTGTGTGTAGATTTCCCCTTCTTTAATACCTGGATGAATATTGTTCTTGGGAAAATGCTGCCCTTTCGGTCTTAAATGGTAATTCTAAGGTGTGTGTAGTTCTCTAGTCCCTTGTTCCCCCTGTAGACCCTCAATGTTTGACTGAAAATTGAGCCATGGGAGGAGCTCCTTTGCAGACCTGCAGGGGATTAAGGGTTATAGAGAGCTCCCACCATTCTCTATATGACCAGTTAGCGTGGTCTTTTTTTATCGTAACAAATTTTTGTTGCATGATGTTTATGTGCTAGAGTCAGATGAACAGTTCTTATGGAGTAAAGTTAAAACTCAAGTTTCCATAGAATACTTTCTTCAGAACTGTATTTTTGCACACACCCAAGTGTGCAAGCACATTTATGGATCCCAGTTGATGGGAATGAAAAATAATGTGCTAAATTCGTTATAAATAATGAATAGTAATTGATAAATGATCGCCACCATGTGAGAAAATATGTTGATGTGTGTATTTTCTTTTCACTTGTAGTAATTATTCAATATTTAGTTTTCAAACATTTTAAGGCATAAATTTTATGTTCATAAGGTTAATACTCACAGTTTTAGAGATGTAAATTTTTGATATTCAAAATAAAAATATATAATGTAATTGATTATTTTGCTTAGAATCTTGACTAGAAGTTTATTTTGCTTTTTTTTCTATTAACAAGTATTAAAGTTGATTAGTTTTTCAGAATATGGTTATTAGTTTCTAAGCATAAAGCTTTGTTGTGTTGTTTTCAGGTTTTATTACATTGCTCTGTCATTTTAATATATACGAGAGCTTCAAAGCATTGGAATTACAGGATAATGGTACTTTTCCACAACCATTTTAAAGCATCCTCGTATTAGAGAACGAGTTAGTAGCTGTCATACTGTCTACCTTTTAAAAGATGAGGTTACAGGTTTTCATGTCATGTCTCTCTGTTAGGCACGATTGGAATTAGAATTAAAAAAGACACGCAAACTAAGGAAATTCTGGAACTTAATTAAGAAGAATGATGAAAAGATGGAGCCAGAAGCAAGAGAACAGTATGTTGACAGTGCTTCATACCTTGTTGATTTATTGTGCTGGGTTGTAGGCCATAGACGATGTGGACTGGTTTCTTGTTTCTGTAGCGTTGAGCTCAAATGAATGTTAATAAGGGCATTTACTTAAGGCTGTCAGGTGAGTTTTTGCCGCGGAGGTCTGAAGGAGAAGGCACACCACCGCCATAATCTCAGATGTCCTGGGCATCAGAGCCAACTTTTCATTCTTTTTCTCCCTCACTCTGACCAAGGACTTGTGCATGATCCAGCCATTTTTCATATATTCATTAAACAAATGCCGAGTGCTTCCTTTGCTTTTGCACTGTGATTTAGTATATGCGCTTCTCCGTATTCTTCCAGCATGGTTAGGTTCCAGAGACTCGTTTTGCAGAAATGGAGGATGACCCCATCATGTCAGGAAATGGAGTATGACTGCATCGTTCTATAACTGCCTCACCAGTGAGAATCATGGTCCAGCCAAGTTGACATACATAACCTTAACCCTCACAGCCGGTGTTAGTCTCACTTTACACCTGGGCATTAATATGCAGAATGTATACTGATAATGTGAAAGAGTTTGATAGATGGGTTTTTTTGCTATTGTAATTATAAAATGAAGGCTAATGAGATAGTTGATAAGTGAAGAGAATGCTTATATATATGACCATTATTTTTCTCCGTGCTTATTCTCCAAGGTTTATGCCTTATAAATAGTTCTCAGTTTTCTCCAGAATCTTAAGGCCACCAGTCCGACTTTTCTTCTTTACTCTCTAACAGTGACTTTGACACTCTTCAACCATCATTTATTCACCCACTACACAAATGTTGTGTGTTTTTTATTTATTTATTTTTTGCCTGATACTAGACATTGGGGATGTAGCAGAGAAGAAAATAATTTCTGCTCTTCTGGAGCTTAGAGTCTAGTTGGAGAGGCAGCAATAAACAGGAAAATTATGCTATATTAGAGGATCAGTACTAATGAGAAAAATATATCAGGTATAGAGACTAAAGTAACAAATAAGGGTTTGTTTATATGTAGGGTGATGTAAGGGTTGATAATTTTAGATCGAAAGAACAAGAACCCTTATTGCAGTGTGAACATAAGAGAAATGACCTGAAGGAGGTGAGTTGGTCATGAGCTACCTGAGGAATGAGCTTTCCAGATTCAGCGAGCAGCAAGCGCAAATATAATCAAGTTCTCCGATACCTCTCTGATCTCACCTCCTTCGTTTACTCATGCTAGTGTTATGGAAAACAAGGCTTGGAGCAGAGTAAACAAGATGAGATCAGAGAGGTATCATAGAAATTGTATTTGTGCTTCTTAGACCTTTGAAAGAACCTTGCTGTTAAATCTCTGCGTACCATGGAAGCTATTGAAGGGTTTTCTGTAGAGGAGTGCTATAATGATTGCGACAGGCTATCACCCTAGCTGCTGTGGAGAACAAAGATTGGTGGGAGAGGAAGCAGGTAGATAAATTGAGAGGATGCGCAGTAGACCAGGGGAAGAGTAGACAGCAATAGTGGAGATTGGGAGAAGTGAACAGATTTTGACAGGGTTTGCTATTGGGTCAGATGGAGACTAAGAAAGAAAGAGAAGACTCAAGAATGACTCCGGATGCCCAACCTGAGTGGTTGGAAAATGGAATTGTGGGATACCAAGATAAGGGAGACTGTAGAAGATAAAAGTGGGGACTGTTCAGAAGCCTGATGTTGGATATTCGTATTACGTTATAGGTGCGTCGTAAACACAATAAAAAAGAGATATTGAGTAGTTGCTGAGATCTGTGAGGGTAGTCTGGGACAGAGGAGACTTCCAATATTTTGTGGAAAAAGGGAAGGAAGAAATAAGATAAAAAGTAATATGGTCAATGTAATCTCTGATTTTAGGGCTTATCAAGAAAGAAGATTTCTTTCACAACTCATCCAGAAGTTTATCTCCGTACTGAAATCAGTCCCACTCTCAGGTAAGTGTTCTGTATTCGGGTCATTTGTGAAGCTGTCTCTCGGTGCCCCTGTGGTATTTGCTTAAGGAGGCCTGGTGGTATCCTAGGTTAGACATTGGGTTGCTAACTACAAGGCTGGAGGTTCAAACCCACCAGTTGCACAGAGGGAGAAAGATGAGGCTGTCTCTTCCTATTAAGATTTACAGTCTCTTATTGATAAAACTTTACTGTTCCTTTTTGTTTCCAGCTTTTGCATTTCAGTAATCAATATTTACCAGTGCATCTTGATTTCATTTTTGATCAATTTCAGACTGAAGAAGGTGATAGAATTCTACAATTTTTCTATTACTATCTTTGGTGATTGTATGTAAAATGTAATAATAGTCATATTAGCTGAATTTCCTTATGTATACATACATATGTATTACAGACAACATTGTATTTCAAGATATACCTTTCAATGCTTTCTTTCTTTTTTTTAATCATTTTATTAGGGGCTCATACACCTCTTATCACAATGGATACATACATCAATTGTGTAATCACTGCTTTCTTGATGATGAATGTAAAGCCATTCTTTTTGTTGTTGTTTTTTTTTTCTTTTTCGTAAAGCCATTCTTGAAGTATCATTCCGACATAGTACACCATATGCGTGTGTGATTCATAATGACCAATTCAAGTCCACTGCAGCTCACTAATGCCAAGGATATAGGTTTTATGTATTCCATTTCATTTTTGATGACTCCCAATTTACTTAGATTCATACTTCATACATTCCAAGTTCTGATTATTAATAGATATCTGTAGTTGTGTTTTCTAATTTTGAATTGTGTCCCATAAGCTTCTTATAGTTCCGAAACCCTTACTCTAAAAAAAAGAAAAAGAGTGACAGTCTCCGACCCCTAAGGAGCAGTTCCACCCGGTCCTACAGGGAAGCCACCAATCAGAATCAACCCTATGGCTGATGGCTTTGCTTTAAAGTATTTACTCATCCGTAGTCTAAAAACGAATGTCCGAAACAAAAGAAAAACGTGAAACCCTGTCAACATTAGAGCTTAGACTTGGACCTCAAATTCTGAACAGTCTGTTGGCAGTAATTTTCTCAAGTTACAAAGAAAGCATGTAGAATTAGTTCTTTTTTACTTCTGTTTGGATAGAAATATTTTCTTTTGACAGTAACAAGGAAAAAAGATAACAGCAGAGGGCTGGTTTGACAGGATTTAATTACAAAGTTATTCTTCAATTCATTTGTTTAAACAGCTGTCTGACCTGACTTTGTACCAACCAAGGAAATCTGGGTTCTAGTTCTAACTTAACCACTAGAAACACCTGTGTGCTTTCATCACCTCACTCTCTCTGAATCTCATTTTCTCACCTGGACAATACTCATTGTTCTAACAATACTCATTGTTCTACCTTTTGTTCTAACTTCTCGAAGGTCTTTTCCAACTATCAAATTCTGTGGTTCTATTGTTTACAAGCCTAGATTATGGGCGAATTCGAAGCCTGGAAAGGCTCTAGATTAACATTCTATCAGTCACAAAAATATTCCCATGAAGCCTTTCATTTTCTAGTGCACTGCAGATACATGAATTCACGTAAGCGTTTATTGGGTGCTTTCTATAGGTCGGGTACTGTGTCGGTCCCTGCTGAAGGTCCACGGACTAAGCAGCAACAAGATCCTTACAACTTTCCCCTTTTTAATCAAAATGTTCAGGTCAGGGAAGTTTTAGTTGATAAAATGGTAGATCATTTCCTTTTATTGGGAGAGGAAATAAAATGAACAACGTTGTACTCTGGAAGTATGTCATGTCATTTTACAAAGTTGTAATGACTTTAAAACAAAAGTGTTTTTAAAAATCGTACTCTAGGGAAACCCCATAAATAGCATAAAGTAAGACAGATCTTTAAAACTATTCTATTGCTCTGGATACCACTGGCAGTTTAGTGTCCACAGAAAAAAGTCTGAGTCATCTGATGACTATATTTTCAGCACTTTTCCTCTGCACTTTTAGGCTTGTGTGTGTTTACACGTGCACACGTTTATGAGTGTGATTAGGTATATATGGCAGAACGTCCAGAAGTTCGGTATGTGAAGACACTACATAAGGAAAGCTGAAACAAAAACTGTCTAGTTTTTGATGCCCACTTTTTCAAATTCTAATAAGTGTGTATATTTTTAAATTGACACTTAAAATCTCAGCTTGGGTTAGAAGCACACTTTAAATATCAGGCATGAAATGCTATTTTTAAAAATTGTTACATAGAACTAAATATAATGATACATATGAAGTTTTTACTCTGGATCATAGTGCAGTAATGAGAGCAAGAGACAATTGACCTTAACTAAGTAAGGAACTACCAACTTAATGATCTAGCACACCAGCTGGCTTACAGAAAATCCTAACCTGTTTTCTCTCGTGTCTAGAACCCGTCACTGTGGATAAAGTTCATTACTGTGAAAGATTCATAGAACTTACGATTGATCTAGAGGTAAGAGACCAGCAGTGACTTTTCTTTTGTAGCATCGTTGCAGGGTTAAGACTAATAAGCATACGGCTGTCTTTGAAATAGCCTCTCAAATAGTTTTTCAGAATAGGCTTTCATAGTGAGTGAAGTGTAGGACTTTAATGGACAGTTCAGATACAGGGTTCGTGTAGTACAGATGGAGTTTGTTTCCTCTTGTTTCCTCCCCAGTGTAGGAAATTCAAAGACAGTCCTGTCTGCTGCTTTTCTGGAGAGGGAGGGTGGTTTCTTGAAATGTATTTTAGAGTACTGGACTAGCAGCCAGCCATGAAATCTTGATTCAACTGTTTCCGTTGCTAGTAACGATAGCAATAATCTCACCGATAAAAATAAGGACATTTGATTTGACTGAAGTCTTTGAAACTGGGATTGCCAGTCTCAGAATTTCTCAACATTGACTTACTGTCATGGAGTTCCCCCTTACTCTTATCCCCAGATAGTTCCGCTTGGAACTTACACTCAATATAGAGAAACCCCCAATATATATAGGGTTTCATAAAGATTTTGTTTAAAGGTGCGAGCTGAGATGGTCTGTGAGACCTTTCAATGCTGATTTTCAGTTTTATCTTAGATATGGTTCTGTTGTTGTGACTGGTTTAAATTATTGGTGGATTTGGGTACAGCACACCTCAGGCCCCTTGCTTTGTACATTGTGTGTCTTCTGAAAGGGTAGAGAGTACTTTCATCTAATTAGCACTACGGACTTCAGTGATCAGGAGACTGCTGTCTAGCTGCACAGAATACATTCCACCTTACCGCTGTGGCGCTTTGTCTCCTAGGCCTTACTTCCCACTAGGCGCTGGTTTAACACCATCCTGGATGACTCCCACCTGTTGGTTCACTGTTACCTTTCCAATCTTGTTCGTAGGGAAGAGGATGGTCATCTTTTTTCCCAGGTGAGTTTTGATGTACCTGAACATATTTATTGTTTTAATTTCTAAATTGATCTTTTATTTGCCATGCAACTGGGCGCACTGGGCTGTGACACAGGGTTATGTTGATAAAAAATGCAAACAGTTGCATTGATAATTAGTGGTAATTGTAATGGAAAAGTTAGAAACTGCAGAAAGATTAAGAGTTAGAAAAGAGGACCTTGGTGTGGGGTACCAGCCTCCACAATCAAATGTGTCCAACGGGTGGTTGTGTAATTGAGGCATACAATTAAGGAGACATCAGATAAGTTCAAGCATGCAAGTGCTCACCTCCAGGACTGCCATGATTTCAGGAGCCAGGTCTGCTCAGAGAATATATTTCCCACCAAGGCTTCTATCCACTCATGGGGAATGCAAGCCTCCCTAATTACAGGAAACCACATACTTAACAGTTAGGGGTTGCACTGGAGGCATACATGTGACAGCAAGGGTCATTCATAACGAGATGGCAGCAGAACCTTGGTCGTCCCTGAGTTGGCTTGACCTTAGATGTCTTTGGACTCTCCTTTAGGGGAACCATCCATTAGCCTTAGCAGAAGGGAGTGAGCTCTACTTAGGGTGGGAAAGACTATAGGGTCTGATGGTTCTAGATGGCTACCGTAATAACCTTCAGGCAGATAACCTTTCAGCAGTTGACCTCCAAGTGTATATTTGCAAACAGCACCTTAGGCTTGGTATATTTTATGGAGGGACAACCTGGGGAATAACTTTTCTGTTTCCCACCTTGGTAACAAACAAAATTGGAGCTTGCCTGAGGGAATTTTGCCATTCATGATTTCCTCACTGCCAATATATTTTGTAAAAACAGCAGAGGCCACATCTGAGCTCCTCTGGCTCTAGAAGCCGATTACCCCAAAGCAGAGGTCAGGAGTGCCTCACCTTCCACTCCTGTTCGCTCTGTTCTCCCCTCAACCATATTCCCACCTACTTTGGTGGCTGGGCTCATTAGCTCATTCCAGTGGCCGCCTAGAACTCAGCCCGCGCTCATGATTATGAGGTTTACTAGGGGCATTAACAGGTTCCAGTTCAGATGCTCAGGATACATGTTCATCAGGACAGTTCCTTCTCTGCCATGGCTACAAGTAGGCCTCTCTGTGGCCCTCAGCCACTTGGCTTGGTTTCTACTCCTCTTGCGCAATGTTGCAAAGCTCTTTTTAGGGCTGCCTGTCAATGCCCAAGAGCATACTACTCTACTGTAAACCTCAAGCCAAAGGCACCCAGCTCTGCTAATTGCCAAGAGGCACCCCATTCCACAAGCCAGCCTCCTGCCCCAAAGCACTCAGCATTCGAAGTCTAGTGGTCTGTCTCGTGCTTTGGCTTTTGGTCTCACTGCTGCCCCCTCCTCTGCCATTCTTGTAGTCCGGCAGCTGTTTCTTGGATCAGGGAGATTCAATGTGCAGTGTTCTCCGAGTCAAAAGGTCACACTCCACTCCTGACTCTTCTCTTAGCTGGTACTGAGATTCCCCTTTCCTGCTTCTGAGATGGTTCATTTTATACCCTGCAGGACCACCCACAATTAGCCCTGTTAACATTATCACTCACAACTGAATCCTATCAGGATCTTCCCCCACCTTTTACCTGGACCCATCAAGGAAAAGGTGTTTGATGGGAGTTGCAGAGACTGTAGAACTAACTAATTCACTGCACTTTACCCTTTTTCAACAATATGAATGGTGACCATACATGTCGACCTTACTGGAGGGAATAGAAATAAATCTAATTGGCTATATCTATGGGAAATAACGAACGATATTTGAGAATTTCAACGTCAGCAGCTAACAAGGCTGGGGCTGACTGTGGAACAGTCATTGCTCATTGGCAAACTTAGATTGGAGCTGGAGGAAATGAAAACAAGTCCACAGAGCCAGAATACATTTTCTCAAGAACAGATTTTACTCATTTAGCACTAATGATGTAAGATGAAATGAATTGTGGGGTCACATCAAGAACATCAAAAACAAAGAAAGCAAAAGGTCATTAAAAAGACAAAGAAAAGACCAGATGTCTTTTCAGATGTCAGAATAGACTGAAACTTGCTCTTGAATGTAGAGTAGCTAAAGTGAATGGAAGAAATGAAGTAAATGAGCTAACCAAAAAAGATCTCAGAAGGTAGCTCGAGAAGACAAAAGCAAGCAATTATGATGAAAGGTCCAGAGATTGGGAAAGCCCAAAGGGAAGCGCACACACAGCGTGTGTCAAGCGTAGAGACCTAAGGAAAAGGAGTCAGCCTGGCATTGCAATACAAAAGGGTTCTATGCACAAAATACTGAGCGATGCAGGGGACATCAAATGAAAATGGAAGGAATACAGAATCACTAGTTCAGAAAGAAATGGTCGATATTCATTTATTTCAAGAAGTGCTCTCTGATTAAGAGCCAGTGAAATTGAAAGAAGAAATCCAAGCTATGTTGAAGCCATTACCCTAAAACAAGAGTCCAGGAATTGATGGAAAACAAGCTGAAGCAGTGGTGGAAGCACTCACTGGTCTGGGCCAAGAAATTTAGAAGACGGCGACCTGGCCAGCTGACTATTTGCGTCCATTCCAAAGAGCTGTGACCCAACAGGATGTGTGAATTTTGACCAGTATCAGTATCACAAGCAAGTAGAATTTTACTGAAGATACAGTAATTCCAAAACAATTGTAGCAGTGTAGCAACAGGGAGCTTCCAGAAATTCAAGCCAGATTCAGAGAGGACATAGAGCGAGGGATACCATTGCCGATGTCAGATGGAGCTTGGCTAAGCACAGAGAATACCAGAAAGGTGTTTGCGTGGGTTTCGCTGACTATGCAAAGGCATTCACCTGTGTCGATCATGACAAACTAGACAGCCTTGAGCAGAATGGGAATTCCAGAATACTTCATTGTGCTCATTTTGCATAAGCAATGCAAGGATCAAGAGGCATTTGCTGAAGCAGAACATGAGCAGTTTAAACTCAGGAAAGGACAAAATAACAATTTATAAATTATCAAGGGCTCATGAGGGAGGGGGGAATGGGGAGGGAGGGGAAAAATGAGGACCTAATGCCGGGGCTTTAAGTGGAGAGGAAATGTTTTGAGAATGATGAGGGCAATGAATGTACAAATGCACTTTACCCGATTGATGTATGTATGGATTGTGCTAAGAGTTGTATGAGCCACTAATAAAATGATTTAAAAAAAAAGAAAAAGAAAGTCAAGAAGGAAAATTTTAAAAAAAGAGATAAAATCAGGAAAGGTGTGTGTTAGGGTGATATCCTTTCACCTTGTTTATTCTGTTTGTATGCTGAGCAAATAATCGGAGCTAGACCATATGAAGAACAGCACCAGGCTTGGAGAAAGGCTCATTACCAACTTGTGACAGGCAGATGACTCAGCCTTGCTTCCTGAAAGATGCTTCCGTGCACTTCCTGATGAAGATCCAAGGTTACAGACTTCAGTATGGATTAGAACTCAAATAAAGAAAATAAAAATCCTCACCACTGTACCAGTAGTCAACACTGGTAAATGGAGAAAAGGTTGAAATTGTTAAAGATTTCATTTTACTTGGATCCACAATTAATGCTCTTGGAAGTAATAGTCAAGCAATAGCCAATCATTGGGAAAACTTGCTGCACAAGGTCCTTTTAAAATGTTAAAGAGCAAAGATGTCATTTTGAGGACTGAAGTGCATCTGAATCTCTCTCATTATGAATTTCAAAACCTTCATTCAGAAATTGCTGTTCATTAGTGGCCTAAGTAAAAGATCTCAAGAGTGCCCTCTAGTGGCACAATGATTTTATTAACTTGCTGTGATGTAGGGTTTTTCTCTTCAATTGAAATACCTGGTTTCCTTTGATTTGAGCCTTAAATACCAAAGCGCTGAGATTTCCATTTACATTCTTTTCTGTTGGAGGAAACTGTGTGAATGCAATAGACTATTCACAATTTGTTTTTAAGACATCTACTTTATTTGTGTGTGTGTTGCTATTTTACATAAATGTT